TTTTTTAAAAAAAAAAAAAAAAGGAAAAAGAATATTTTTTTTTTTGTGCCCTGCCAGCTGCTGCTGCCTTGCAGCACCTTCTGTACTCTGGTCATTAGGGAGGTAACAATGATGTAGCTCACTCGGGAACTCAGGCGGTGTAACACCAGAAATGTACGTTGCAAGATAAAATCATAGATTTATTGCTCAGGAAATAAAGTGCTATAAGCATAGAAAACTGTGTTTTATGTTTGTTTCATTAATAAACTGTGTAAGAATTTCTAATATTTTATTAGCAGGTTAAAATTTAGAGGCAAGCATCCCTAAACTTGGATGAGGTTAGGGGAACTTAAAATCCAATCAAGTCTCTTGAAATAGGTAGTTATACCTATGTGTGGTTTTTGTTTTGTATTTTTCAAAGTATTTATACTGGTTATAGGTAAATTTTTGTATTTTAAGATTTTTTTCAACTATCCGAGAAGAATAGAGCACAGTTGTAAGTAATCCAAGTTTGCAGAGCTACAAAATATTGGCCTGAGTCTGTTGCCTATGCTGTATGCTGTACAATAAAACTATACAGTATCTTGCTTATACCCACCTCATTTTAAATAGGAGAGTTTAAAGTTTGAATGAGTCACTCTATGCTTACTGAATTTCTTGGTCATTGATGCTACTGCAACTCCAGTTCTCTCAGATTAGAGTAGAATCCAGTAATTACCACATTTTTGTTTAACATTACTATGAAAACATTTTTCTTTGATAGTGGCTAAAACCAGTGTTTTCACATATGGAGCTTTTTCTATTTTAAATGCAAGTAATGCAAGAAAAATTCAGGATTTTTGCTGAGTTACAAACCATAGCTTTACTGTTCTATCAGCTTGCAACTTACTTTCTTCATCTTTTTGATAGGAGTTGGCCAAATTCTGTAAGAATAATTGGCACACGGCGGGGGAAAAATCACTTCGGTATTTGTATATGGTTTTCATTTATCAGTAGATCCCATCGGACTTTGCGTGCAATAGCAGTTGGGTGTATCTCTCATTCTGAGACATCGGGCTCAGTAACTGTTTACAATTAACAGGCTGAGCCTTGTTCTTTTAACAAATCTCTCTGTTATACTGACAGTTGTGTTTTTAAGTTTTTTTTTTTTCTCAAATTCTGAGAAAATGTAGCCAATTTTTAAAAAATGTTTCCAAGCGAGTTATTTGGACCTTCCACTGTGTCACTAGAGATTTGAGATTTTACAAGTTCTTGATGTTTTTTTCACCAGTCTTCAGTTTGCTGGTGATTAAAAGAATGTCTCTGCAAACCTATGGCTCGATGTGAAAGTACGTGGCATAAAGTCATGTCCAAGTCGAATTAGCCAAGATACTGGCTATCCAAGTGTCAATAAAATAACAACTTCTTGACCCAAATTACTTCATGTATCTTGTCTGTCAAATGCTAGCAATAGAGTCATACGATTTGTTTGCTAATCCCTTGGCTTCCTTTGACAGAGTGGGTATTTGCTAACTGTGTTGCTTCCAAAACGTCAGCTGCTGTTCTTAAAACAAACCAAACCTTCCCCTAGACTATTCTTATCTGCAGATGATTAGCTGCTGGAGGACGGTTGTATTCCTTATGCCAGGACCCTTTCTTTGAGGTGCTTTTTCATGCAATTAGTTGCATTCTTTGACTGTCAGGTCACCGTTATCTGCACCTCGCAGTTCATCTTCAGCGTGCGCTTGAATACTCTATAAGCCAGGCTAACACTGCTCGAAAAACATCAGATGCTCAATAATGTAAAATGGTGTTATAGGCATAAAATTTTTATTTTTCAATTGTACTGTTGTTGCTTGTACCGTGTTTTTAAATGCAAATAATGTTTGCATTTACTACATATGCAAACTCATTTATTACCCAAAACTCTGATGACTTTTACATATGGTCATTAGCTAAAGCAGGTTGTAACTTTCCTTGTGTCATTTTTCAGCTATTCTAATGCAGTTTTACCAGTATCTTTAGTCATACTCTAATGTCCAGATATGCTTAAATGCTGCTAGATTTTTATTCTTTCTGTTGCATTTTGTGGAATGTTGTTATCGTGATCTTTTTCCACTCAGTTTAGTTGCAGTTTCTGCATCTAAGACTTAGTGTATTTCCCGTTCTCATCGTTTCCCAAAAAAGACATGGAATTACGTATTTTTCTTCCTGAATCAACTTTAGTTATTTTTACCATGATTTTTCACTGAACATCCTTTATTGCAGCAGATGGAAACTGTCAAGCCAGATAATAAGTTTAGATGATATTTTGACATATAGTGATTTGGGAATATGTTTAAATTTTTATTTATTTATTTGTTTCCAAGAGGAAAGCATGTTAAATAATTTAAATTCTGTTCCACTTGCCTATATGTTGAAGTTCTTATTTTGTTTTCTTTGTAACTGATGGTTTCACGTTTCATGCTACATCAAAATAGATCAACTTTTAAAAAAATAAGTTCTGTCATTTGTTGGTTTCCCGTGCTATGCTTTCTTTTCCCTTCTAGGAAATAGCAGTCTCTGTTTTGACCAGAAATTTTATATTTTAAAAAGAGAACATTATTGTATTAAATGGCATCTAAATTTTAGAACTTGTAGAGAAAATACCAATGGAAGTTTTCTATTGGAAGAGGCTGAGCTGAAATAAAAGGGGTGTACTTATTTCATTAAAAGCTACCAGATAAACTACCAATTTTTATTATAAACTTAAACAAAAGAGGTTAACAAAGACAAGTTTGTACTAAAATAGAATAAAATTATTTGAAATTATGGAGTATAGAAGGTCTTGTAATATGCAATATGGAAAGTACAATTTTGACTAGCTTAACTGGGGTATGTGCTTGTAGTATTCTTATTCCAAAGGCTTTGCTGAAATTAATTCAGTTTCACTTCATGCCACTGAACTAGGAAACATTCACATATGTGGAAACGGAGTTAGATTTTACTCAGTGAAAATCATACAGAGAGTTTATTAGAGCAGGAATTGGTATATAATTTCAATTTACTTGACATATTTCCTAAGCCATTGTTTTGTGCACAAACACAGTGGGAATGCTGTGTATTTTACTCGAATAGGAGGCTGCTTGGTCTGCCCACACTTGGTAGCTTTCATTTCAGTTAATACCAGTTGAAGTGTTACCATTGAATGTTCTTATTCCAGCTTTTAGTAGTGCTGAATGTATTGTGGTTGGATGAATATTAATGTATTTTATTCTGTTTTCTTACATGCCACGCTTTGCAACGCTGCAGAAACATCACTGATGACGAATCGGCGGTGGATGAACTGAGAGGCGCACTGAGGTTTTTTGCATCTGTATTAGTTCGGCGCATTCACAAGGTAAGGTAACTTCGAGGTTTTAATGTTGTTTTTCCATCAGAAATAACTGATACCCATCTGTAGCAAGTACTTTAATTTTTTTAAAATGGCAGTTCCAAAGTCAGTCCTACCAAGAGTATAGGCAGTTTCCATCTAAGTTTCTTGTGTTGTCTGTTTCCTTCTTCCGGAGCTTATCCCATTCCTGGTTATAAACCATCTTTGAAGATTCATCATTGGAAGTGTTCAACGTCAGGTTGGGCACGAGTTTAAGCAACCTGATCTCTAGTGAAACATGTCCTTGTCCACGGCAGGATCCTTGAAGGTCCCTTGCAACCCAAACTATTCTATGATTCTTGCAAATGGATTTATTTTTTACACCAGTGCAAGGCATTATTAAAACCTTGGGATGATCTTTTGGCTGTCTTTTAGTGACTTAATCCAAGTGGAAACAATTTTGAGAATTATTGAAAAAGAACTGTTAGAAAATGGTTAGCAGTGTACCTGTCTCATAACTTCTGTGTACTTGACTTCTTTAAATGTAGACAAGATCCTTACATTGTCTATAAAGAATAGACTGTCATTAAGTGAGTAGCTTACTATAAGAATTAAAAAAGGTATGGTTCTTATATTAATGTAGTTCTTAAGAAACATTCTGAAGACTAAAGATTCAGTATTTTTTTTTATTGGCTGTTTTTAATATATTAGCACGTCTACTCTGTTTTCTGGTAAAGTGCTTCAAGCCTGTTTTACAGGAACTGTTTCTAAATTTCTGGCTATTCTAAGCAGGAAGAGTTGCTAAATCAGTTTGCAGATTTACTCAGTGCTGGCCCCTCTGTTGGAGCAACTGCCATAAATGTGTGTTCCTTTTCCCTTCCTTAGTAACAGCAATATTGTGCATGTACTCTGTCATGACTGATTAACAGCCTGATTCCGTCCTTGTTATATATCACATCCAGATGACTTTCTTGTTTACTCTAACTCAAACATGTTGCTTTTTAAAGTGAACATGGGGGAAAATTAGGAAATGTCTGTGTAGTGCAGACATTGTATGGAGGTGTGAAAGTGGAGTAAATCTTTCAAAGTGAACAGCTAGAGCAAGGTCTTAAAATTTAACTTGGAGGTGTAATGCATGCAGGTGTCTGTTGCATTGTTTGTAGATCCATTGTTGATGCAGAAAATGATGATTTCTGTCCATCATGTAATAAGGTGTTAATCGTGTTATCTCAGATCAGCTCTAGCATCTTTAAGTAGAGTATTAATTTATCATATCTGCCTTGGACAGTAATGAAATAAATGTAATATATTCACTTCTGTGTCTCTGGTAGAGAATATGTGCAAGAAAAACTCATGATGTGTACAAGCATTAAGCACTGTCAGGGGAACTACAAAAAATAAAGACTGTCACAAAAATGCATTTCTCTTTACAAGTGTAGATTTATTTATATGCATCCTATGGAATAATATAATTTATTTTGCCTCTTTGTGTGAAATGGTACAGATATCTCAAGCTTTTTGAAAACATAGTAGTAACTTTGTGTTTTGGAACAAAATTGAAACTTGGCATGCTCAGTCGTGCAGGGGAGCATGGTGTCTCATGCTCTCCTATTTTTTTCAGCTCATACTTTTTTTCTGCTGAACAAGTGTTCCTGTGTGTGCACACACCCATGTACAGATGCAGACAGCCTGAACTCATGCATATACTACTGAAAGTGTTGTGCATAGAAATAAGATATAATGTGCAAGTTGCAGATAAAGTACTAACTTTTTGTCATTTTAGGAATCATAGTTTAAAGCTTCAGTAGTTAGCTGAAAAGGGTTATGACAGAATGTTTTATAGCCTTTCAGCTCTGATGCTGTGTCCTTTATAACCTCATTTAAGGAGAAATTAATCACTGATTGCAAAATAAAATAGTCTTATGTCTTTGCCAAACAGCTGTACTTTGATTTGGATTTATTATTAAATGCTTGAAAGCAAAAGTTCTAGCTAATAGAGATAAAACTTCTAAATTCAGGAACTACTATGTGTATGAAAAAAACAGTTGGTTTTTTTTTTTTTTTCCTTTTTTAGGTTATATTGTTATACTTTTATGCCAAAGAATCTTTTGCTTTTCAATTAAGACTGAAAAGTACAAATTGCTTCAGTGAAAAGAATTCCTTTGTTTTCTGTTTAAGGCTGCCTAGGTGGATTTTTTGAGGTGTGGTTTTTGAATAAAGTAACTTCAGGCCAGTCAGCTCTTATGTATATGCTGAAATACCTCCCTCTCTCCTCTCCTCTCTCTCTCTCTCTCTCATATCTGGATTTTCCTTGTGGCCATTTCTGGGTTAGTTATGGGTTTTGAAGGGAAAGTAAAGGGTTTCCCTTTGTGCAGTGTGGTGTAGATAGCCCTGCATCTGGTTGAAATTTTTGTCAAAAGGTGATAGTGTCTACTACAGTGTTGAGAAATATGAGTCCCAAAGGACAAGGTTTTCCATTGATGAGCAGAAGCTCCTACTTTCTTGCTTGTAAATAGGAGTTGACCTTAATTTAATTAGTTTTAGGCAGTTCTAGTCAACTGTACTAGCTTGTCTGGGCTGGCCAAGTCAGGTTGTAGCTGTGCACCTTAAATATTACAGAGGAGTGTGCAGGAATACAAGCTATTCTCTTTGGATGAATGAATAAAAAAACAGCTTTTCTGTCAGCTCTGTCCTTAGCAGTTACACTGTTTCTTTCCTTGTCTGGCAAAAACAACTTTCATGCTTCTGTTTCATTACTTACGTCTTTATTTGACCTGGTATTGAGGAGGGACAAACTCCATTAAGGGGAAAATACCCAAACAAACCATGTTCAGAAGTCTTAAATTTTGAACATTTGCAACTGCATGTTTCTGCTCCTCTGAGATGTCTTTTGTTCTTGCTTAAAATAAAGAGCATGCAAAGTGTAAATGAGTTTCTAGATAAGTTTCTTTGGAAACTACTGCAGCTGATAAAGAAGAATCCCTGAAACTGTACAGACTGGGGACTGACTGGCTGTGGAGGGAACCTCTGCAGCAAAGGACCTGGCTCTGTGGTAGACAGCTGAGTACGAGCCAGCAGTGTGTACTGGCAGCAAAGGTGGCCAGCAGTATCCTGTATTAATAGGATTAATGTACTAATAGGAGCAGAGCCAATCCATCAAGGAAAGTTATTATCTGCCTTTACTTGGCATCTGGGATACTGCATCCAGTTTTGAGCTCCCCATTGCAAAAGACACGTTGATAGAGTGGAGCAGGTTCAAGCAAGAGGCCACCAAGACGGTTGGGGCTGGAGCATTTGACCTGTGAGCAGGATCACGTGACATCATTGTTGGCACTAACAGTCATCTTGACTCAGTAACTCAAATTGTCTTTTGGTTCTGCCATCACCTGTGCTGTGACATTTTTTCTGCATATACATATTTGCTTTTAGTCCTTGTGGACTTGATTGTTGAGGGTTAAGGTGCACAAGTACTAGGTGCAGAATGTAGTTAACTTGCTTTTGTTGGTGGTCAAATCTTCATTTTGTACTAGGGGTCATACTGTGACTTGCAAATCAAGCTGTATTGCTATAATTATTGCAATGGAAAAATCATAATGGGAACAAATAGACAATAAATGTGTTAAAGATATTGTTTATGCCATTTAGATTGTACATGATGTATGCTTTGTCCAGAAGAGTGAGCCTACTGTCAGCTCACCTAGAGAATTCAGGGGTTGTTACTTAACAGTTCATTTTATGGTTAGAATGGGGACATATAAGCAAATTAATATGTTTGATAGTTGTTGTCTGTAATAAATTTTGGAAAAAAAACCAAAACAAACCAACAACCTAGAACAATTCTGTTTTTCTTTTAAAACTGTTCTTTAGGTGGATATTCCAACTGTTGTAACAAAGAAAATGCTCAAGGCAGCAATGAAACACATCGAAGTGATAGCCAAGGCCCGGCAGAAAGGTAAAGACTCAATAAGTTGTCAGTTTTGAAGGGTAGGTATAAATGGTATTTTGCATGTTTGTTATTATATTTGCTAAATCTTTTCCTCCTCACTGCCTTATCCTTTTTTAAAAAAAAAGTGATACTTTAGCACTTTTATTCTGGCCATTGCAGAGACAAATAGGAGAAAGTTTTGATTTTAACTTCCCCACATTTAAAATACTAAATTTCTTTCTCTGTGTGGCAAACAGAAATGTATTTTTGTCTATTCAGAGCAATCAAGGTCATTCAGCAATGCTTCTTGAAGCTTTTCCTCTGTATTCCAGATTAGCAGTTATAAATGAAAGGATTTGCATGTCTGCACTGTGCTGCAACTGGAACTCTCAGAGCTGGAATGATTTCACATCTGCACACAAATGTGAGCAGCTACTGGAGTTGTTCAATATGTTGAAAAGTTAGGTTTATGTTTATAAGCCATGGAGAGATTTTGAGCAGTAGCATATTTAATTATTATCCAAATAAAAATATCTTCACAAGCCTAAGGTAAAAATTGTATTGAAACTGCAAATTGAAGCAATATTTGGAAAATAGTTACCTTTCTTTTTTTCACTGGCTGTGTTCCACAGTGCTGTATGTACTAAACGTGGTTTCATTCAATTTTTACACATATATGTTTACTTTCACTGAAGTCAGGAACTTTCCTTCCTTCCCTCAAAACATCTACTTGATATCCATAAATACATGCCATTGGTCCTGTGAGTGAGTAGTGGGCAATAAATAATGAGACATAGTGTGATCAGGTTAGATGTTTTTCAGAGCACAACCATGTTTTCAAGATACTAGATTGTCCTGCAGTGCTGTTTATGCCAAATTTCATACTTTGATTTCTACTAAGGAGTTGGAAACACTTTCTTTAGCAGCAAAGAACTGTATTTTAAATGTACAGCACTGAAAATATAGCCACTTTTTTCAGTGTTTTGAAGGCAAAGACTCATTCCCTGAGGGCAGATATGTGAAGTAGAAGCTGAAAATTACTTTTAGTAGTGCTTTCTAGTAAATGTTGCTAAACCAGCCGCCGTAATGTGTGATTCAGAGGCAGCTTTCAGGCCTTGCTTTGGTTGCTACTTGAGCCTGGCCTTTTCTGTCTGATTATTTTCTAAATCCTTTTTCAAATTATCGCTTTAGGGGACATTTCCTTTTTTCCTGCTCTTCTTTCCCTTATGTCTCTTAGTAAGTCCTCAGTATTTGCATAGACACCTCCATGATTCATTACCTGTCCTTGCCAGAGAGTGTGTGCTGCTTCTCTGCTTTTAGTGACACCAGCTGGGCACATTTATCAGACAATATACATTCCTGCATCCTCCGTATCAGCTGATAACTACTCATTGTTTTTGGTTGTGAAAGGCAAGCTAGCAGGCTTCTGTACTATGTTCCATGTGCTGGAAACAGGCTTTAACCTTCTAGATAACAGGTATGTGTTAGGTACCTGACCTGTGCCTGGTGTGGTTCTTGGCATGAGGCTGTGCTGGATTCCTAGTGAAACTAGGTGTGACTTATTCCAGCTCAGTTCTTGCATCTGAAGTGATTTGAAGGAATATAACATTGTAGCTTCTAATGAATATGTATAGTTTTTAATCTGATAAAGCAGGTATTCTTCCAACTTCATACAGCTGCTTACAAGAGGTAGCACTCTTGCAGATCCCCATGCTGATTTTGGTTTGATTTACACTGTGTTTAAAATACATGTTCTTTTACATTTGTTTCTGAATATTCTAAGCAGGAAACAGATATAACAGGATTGAATAAAACTTTAAGTTTATGTTGATTTCAAATTGTGTTGTAGGCAAGTCAATAGGCAGAAGCCAAATAAATGGGAAACCATGAAAGAAGGTCAGGAAAAAAGCAAGTAGAGGCAGACTTTGGGCAATGCAGTCTTTTAGAAAAATCAAGATGTTGAGTTCTTCAATAATTATAAATGAGGAAAAATTCTGGAAACCATGCAAACTGCAATTGTTTGGTGAAGGAACTTGTATTTCAGTGTGAGGTTTTATTTTTACGTATCCAGGCTTGAAAGTCTAAACCAAGGTTCTTTTGTGAAGTTTCAACATTGTGTCCCTTTGGCAGTTGTATATGTACTAAGAGTATTAACTTTTTTAGCTCAAATGAAAAGCAATCACTTCTTATTTCACAGTAAGAAAGAGCTGAAACAGCTTGTAATACTGTGTTTTACTTGCAGTAAAAAATGCAGAATTTTTACAGCAAGCTGCTTTAGAAGAATATGGACCAGAACTCCACGTTGCTTTGAGAAGCCGAAGAGATGAACTTCACTACTTAAGAAAGCTTACTGAACTTCTTTTTCCTTATATTTTGCCCCCAAAGTCGACAGAGTGCAGGTATAGAAATTATTTAGAATTGTTTTCTTTAAAGTATCTGCATACTATGTATGTAGTGCCATAATTTTGGGGAGTGAAAAAATGAACTCCAGAGTCATCCTCCTCATCCATCCTTCTTATCCCCTTGCTTATGGGTTTTTTGTCTAGCACACTTAAGGTATTGTTAAACACTGAAATGTTTGCCATTTCCCCATAATGTGTGCACTGGAAACTTCACTTAGAAAATCATGTAATCTATACTAAAATATTTGCCTTTTCCCCATAATGTGTAATGGTATTGGAAACTTCACTTAGAAAATCATGTAATCTAGTATTGCTTCTGATTGTTTTCTTTTTTTTTTTTTTTTCTTTTCAGATCCCTGGCTCTTCTGATTAGAGAGATCCTGCCTGGTTCTGTTTTCCTTCCCTCAATGGATTTCTTAGCTGATCCTGTAAGACTTTGGAGCACAGGAATAATCTTAATTTATTCAGTATTACTGTTTTCCTATGAAATGTGTTGTGGTGCAGCAAATGATGCACAATGATTGACTTGCTGTGCATTTTGACTGGGTAAAAGAAAAATAAATCTTGTGGCCATTCTTTCTGTTTGTTCATTATAACTGGTTTGAGTGCTTAACTGACTGAACTGACTAAAATACAGTTTTGACATGATCTCTTAATGTATTTTTAATGAAGAACTGCATTTCCTGTCAAATGGGAGAATGCTGTGCTAGTATAAGCACCTTCAGATTGCTCTAACTACATTAAAGCAAGGGCTCAGTTACTGGAACTCTAGTTGTATATATCTTTATAGCAGTGTAAGTAAACCAGCCTTTTTGTCACCTGCATTGAAATTAATTATTTTATCGTTAATTCTGCAAATAAGAGGGCATTTATTTCTAAAGATGGAACACTACCATGTTTGATTTTATTTACACATCTATTTTAATAGACAAAATTGCAATACTTCTGAAGCTATCAGCTAGCTGCAAGCAAAAAGTACTGTAGCTGTGGAAGCATTAGTGGTTCATTAGATCTGTGCTAACAGTAAAAAATACTCTGTAAAGCTTTCCTCCACTGGGTGAAGAATGTTTCTGGGCAGGTCTTTTCCAAAATTCCCTGAGTTGTAAATACTTGAAGAGACTGTTGAAGGTCAATTCTCAAAGATGTGTTGCCAGACTTTGGGGTTTTTTTTAATAGTATTAATATATTCACAGATTTGCATAACATAGTAGTGAAATTATTTTCTTCAAATTTGTTGGGTTTCTTTAACAGTAATTTTATATTGTCTTTTCCTTCAGGACACTGTCAACCATTTGCTGCTGATCTTCATTGATGATAGTCCAGTGAGTACTGACAAAGGCAAAATTAATTAAAAAATTGATTAATTACAAGTAGTTTGTTCACCCACTAAGGAAGCTTTCTTACCCAATTGTCTCTTGTCATTTTTTTCTACAGCCTGAGAAAGCAACTGAACCTACTTCTTCATTGATTCCATTCCTTCAGAAATTTGCAGAGCCAAGAAATAAAAAACCGTCTGTAAGCAAAGGCAACATTTATTCCCTTTCCTGTTTTGAATAAGTGTTTGACTTTACCGATTGTTTTTGTTCTACAACTACTTCCATTATTTATGTACTCACTGAAAGTTTGAAAATCGTCTGACTGCATTTTTAACCTACTAAGGTCCTGAAGCTGGAGCTAAAGGAGATCAGAGATCAGCAAGACCTTTTATTTCGATTTATGAACTTCCTGAAACAGGAAGGGGCAGTCCATGTGCTGCAGTTCTGCCTGACTGTAGGTAAGATTGCATATGTGTGCTGAGATATATTTGATGATCTTTAAAAGCTTTAAGCATTTGCACATTGAAGTTGAGTATTCAGTCTGAGAACTAGGCAGCATAGTTAAACAAGAGATTACCTTTCAGGATCTGTGTTTTGCTTACTTCAATGCATCCTGATTCTTGAATGCTAATCTTTGCACCTTTAATGTTGGCTATGGACTGTAGCTCTTAAGTGTGTTTCTGTTTATTGATAAAGGTGTGACATTTTAAAATAGAATATTCTTGTAAGAAGAATGTTCTGGCCACTGATACAAAGTGCAGCTGCCTTTCTTTAATATGTGGTTACTAAAGTATTACTGAAAAGAGCTGTTCATAATGAAGAGTTGCTCATGTTCTTTTAGCTTTAAAATTCTGATTTCTGGAAAGAACAGAAACATAACAGGAACATTAAAGGTGTTGAAACCTTCTGTTCAGTAACCTGTACCTTGGTTATGAAGCATGCATTTGGTTTTACCATTACACAAGTATCGTTTGAAAAGCCTTCTTTCCAATGATAAGATTTTCTGTGAAGTTTCTTTAAGTTAGAGTGGTTTATTTCAAGTTTTTTGGTCAACTAGTAATTAATTACTGGTTTACCAAAATAATGTAGTTTTGTTTATTTTTAGTAAACAAGTATTTCCATGTTGCATAGGAAATAATGGGTATGTTTTCATATCCCAAACCCATATATACATCAGGAAGATGTGAAATTAAGTTAGACAGACTTTATCTCATAAAATACTGCAGTAATCATTACATAAGAGAAGTAGAAGTAATCTCTGTGTGTGCAGCTTCTTATGTGCTCATAATCCTTCCAGACATTGGCTTATTGTCAGAAAAACTCTTCACCAAAAAACCAACAAAGTTATTAACTTTTCAGTGCTGGTGGCATCTGCAGGGGGCTCTAAGATGACCCTTCTAGAGCACACTAGAGCTGCTTCTTCTAGCAGGAAGATTACTCAGACTGTGGCTGTTGTCCATGATCAGTCTTTTTTTTGGGTAAACCTCAGCATTTTCTTCCTTCTAAACTTGCATTCTCATAGGTGTCAAGTCTGTATGTTAGCTTATAAAACAAAGAAAGAGATTTAGATCTCTCAAGTTATGCTGTCTCAAACTGTCTACTGTAGATTTGTTCTTAATTTGATAGAAACACTTTGAATAAGAAGCACTTACTGAGGAAAATAAACCCAAAAAACCCCAGAAGGGTCTTGGTAGACTTTCTCTGAAGAAATTTGTTTTGTCTATTAATTGAAAAATGAATCAAACACTACCTCATTTTCCCTTCTTTCTGGCCAGTAGTCATGCTATTAATGGGATGGGCCAAAAAATCAAGTAGGATTGCACAATAATTGTGCTGACTAGAATTTTTATTTTGTTGGGGAAGTCCATTCTCAAGTTAGTTTGATATTAAAGGTGTTACTGAAAAATATTGTGATGAGTTGGGTCTTGGGAAAGAAATTGCAGCAGAATAGGTAGATGACTGGTTGATGAGTGCTGTTGGGGCTCTTGTGTGTCTAGCATGAACTGGAGATCATGCTAAAAGAAAACTGCAATATACAATTTGGCAATTTAGGAAGAAAAAAATCATTGTTCTGATTAATTTTTCTTCCAGAAACAACTTAATGAATTTATCCTTACTGCGATAAGGAATAATTAGTTTTAGTTGCAATATCTTTCTAGTAATAATTTTATGAACAAATATGAATCTGAGTTAATAAGAAGGCAACCACCTTATTACCTGAGATTTTGAAATGCCTTGTCTTTCTGTAAATTTTAAAGTTTTACAAATTACTGTATCAGCTGGAAAATGAGTTGATGTTACAGCTTCAAGATGCTGTTTGTTAGCCAAGTGGATCAACAAATGCATTTTCTTTCCTTTACTTCTCAGAGGAATTCAATGACAGAATTTTGCGGCCAGAACTATCGGATACTGAAAAGATGTCTCTTCATGAGGAAGTACAGAAAATTTACCAAACTTATTGTTTGGATGAAAGCATTGACAAAATTAGATTTGACCCTTTTATTGTGGAAGAGATTCAAAGAAGTAAGTTTGAATTTGAAAGGAGCAATTTACACTGGAATTTAAACAGCATTCTGAATAAAGTGAAGATTAATTCATCTAAATATGATCAATCTTTACTTTTGTCATAGTTTTAAAAATTGTTACCCCCTTGCTGTATTGTGCTTAAGCCTTGTTTTGTCAGCTTATTTCTGTATTTTATTTCAGACTTAAGTACCTTGCAAAAGAATCACAACTCAGACCAGAAAAAACCCAGACTTTATATGCCAATATGTTTATATATGTTTGTATTTACAATTTTTTTTTATAGTTGCTGAAGGTCCGTATATGGATGTTGTGAAACTCCAAACTATGAGGTGTCTTTTTGAAGCTTATGAGCACGTACTTTCTCTGCTTGAGAACGTTTTTACTCCTATGTTCTGTCACAGTGATGAGGTAAGTGTGAAGAGTAGGCTTAAAGCAAGACTGTTTTTTTTAGGATACCCTATTTACAACAGCAATGTGCATGTGGAAGTGAAAAGTATATCTCCATATTCCACTTTAGTTAGCATGCCAGAGCTGGGACCAATCTCAGTAAGAAAATTGAATGTATTCTTGTTCAACATAACAGAATAGAAAACACTTCCATTTTTTGATGTAACAATTTGTATGTATTACTGCTATTGCAAAATCCTCTCCACTCCTTCCTTTATGATTGCAAATTGGTGCAAAAGGAATCTGCATGATAGACATAAAACACTTTTAAGAATCTCTTTATTGACTTTTTAAAATATAATGGTACTTAAAGGAAGATACAAAGATTGTATTTAGGTAACTTCAATATTATGCATTCCAGCAGCTGAAAGTGAGGTGTCCTGTTTTCAGAAAGGTCACTCAAAGATACTTGCTAGGCATTTGAGATTGTTCTGTGATTGGGTTCTGAATGCAAGGTTTGTGGGTTGGTTTTTTGTTGTTTTTTTTTTTTTGGGGGGGGGAGAGGTGAGGGGAGTGGAGAAATCCCCACACTGGGCTGTTGCCTAAAGCCTTCTAATAGGAAGCACTTTAAATACAGGGGTGAGTCTGAATTCCTGCCCCTTTTAGAGTTTGTGTGTGTAAATCAGATTAAGTATTAAGCTTCTCACATTTATTTGAGGCAGAACATGTTGACTTCTGCTGGGAATGAGTACTTATCTTACTTAGCATTATTCTTAATAAAGTATATTTCTCAGAATTGATATTGGTGCTTATCTGTCCCATAATAGTTATAATGCTTCAAATGTTTGATTTTTAACAAGAAGGAGATATGAATTTTGTTGCTTAACTTTAGTTTTATTTCTGGTTTAGTTTTTGTTATTTTTTTAATCTCAAGGCTGTGTAGAGTAAAACAAGTAGTCCTGTGAGCATGTATTGCAAATTTGGTCTGTCCTTTTCCAGATTAATATTCTAACTGCTAGATTGTTTGGCTTTTAATTCTGTTCTTGTTTCCTGAATTCTGAAAAGCTATTGCATAGTAGTCCTTACCTCAATTAATCCAGTGATTTCTTTGATACTTTATTTGTCTATTGTAGTACTTCAGACACCTTTTAAGAGGAGCAGAGTCACCAACACGCAATTCAAAGTTTAACAGGTAGGTATTGTAGAATCTTAAAGTATTTTTATTTGGTTTTTAGTTAAAAGCATAAAGATTTTAAACAATAGGAATTTTGCTACTGCCTGATACTAATTTAACTAAATTTTCAGCTCTACTTTTTTTTTTCCAAACGAGCAAATTGCATACTGAAGGAGCAAGCAGTATTATACAAGATGTCTCTTCGCTTTAAGTGTTTTACATTAAAGAACTTAAAATGTGGTTTAAACTTCAACATTTGAGAAGGCGGAAGGGTAAAATAAAGGTACACTGAGAATAAGATAACATGGAAATAAAGTGGAAATTTAATTGACTGTATATATGAATACCATCTTGTTGGTGCAAAGCTGGGTTGTCTTGGATTTCGGGTCTTATGGGAATAGGTACAGTGTACCTTGTGTCTAACCAACCTGGTCATGCAATGGGAATCTTCTCTTGTTATAACAAGGAGAATCGCCATTTCTCCTAGGTCAAATGAGTTTTCTGTTCCCCAGTTCTTCCCGTTCATTGTGGAAATGTAGCATCAGAAGCCTTGTTTCTGGGTTTGGGCTGTGTACCTACAAACTATACCTTCAGGTTCCTTAGGGCCTGTGGAGGAGAAGAGCATCTCTTGTGGTATGGATGGGTGATCTTCCACTGTAGGAATGACTTGAGTGAGCTTGAGGTCTCATCATTTCTTGTCTTTCATTTTATGCTGAATGGCTCAGTCATAGACTAGCCCAACTGAATTGCTCTTACTGTTCAGTCAAAAGAAAGAAAACTTCAGTGAGACAGTTTTTAATTTGGATAGACTTTCTTGGTATGGAATAAGATTCACGGTACTATAGAAAATGCTTATTTTCATTTCTTATTGCACAAGAAAATGCTTGTGTTTATCATCTTAGATTGAGGAGTAACAACAATTTACTTAACTTTTGCTGCTTTCATTAGAACTCTTCTAGAGGAGTAACAGCAATTTACTTAACTTTTGCTGCTTTCATTAGAGATATACCTAGCAGCAGCCCTGTGTGAGGTGAATTATTGTGAGAACCCTTTCTCCCCTGCTAATGTTCTTCAAAAACTATGTGATCTTTCTCTTTAATTTATCTCCATTGGTGACATCTGTTATGTAGTCTTTTTACTTGTAGCTCCAGGTCTCAAGCTTTGGCCTAGTGTTTTCTCAAATTGGTGTCGACAAACTTCTCTTTCTTCCATACCTCTTTTTCAAAGAGGCATGGAAAGCAGCTAGACCAAACTGCATTTCTCCCCTGTGTGATTCTGCACTAGGAGTGGTGACCTTAAAACACACTCCAGCTTCTGTCAAAGATGGCTACAGGGTTTCATCCAGACCTTTAAATCTACCTTCTGGTATCTTTCCCGAAATTATTCATGTCAAGGGTGGAGAGTATCCTGTCATACGCTTCTTAAATCTAGTTCAAGTATGAAAACATTTAGGTCACCTTCTTGGTGACCTTGGTGCTTTGCTTTCCAAAACAGAAAGGGTGAAATTACAGGCAGTCTCTACCTGGAGTTCTTTAAATACATCTTTGGCTACAAAACGAGCAAAATTTTGGGGGAACTGTTACAACATATTTCCCTGGAGTTCAAACAGCGTCCATAGCATTACTGAAAATGTATCTGGTTTATGTTTTAGACCAATTTGAATGTCCTGAGTATATATGCTGGTTTATGATAAGAGATACTGTATTTTCCTGAGTGGTGCCTCTGATTATTTCCATGAAACAGAGGTCCTATCTGAGGTCCTATCTGCAAGTAGTGTGCCTGTTTCCCTCTGCAGAGTCTTGTACACACAGTTACTGCCAATGAAAAAAAAAAAAAAGGGTTACTTATGGAATTATTCCAATGTTATCCATATGCATATACCTTATCCTGCCTTCTCTTCCCTGTTCTAGCATTAGTTCCAGCTTTGCTAGGGGTACTGTGTATGTATTGCATAGACACTGCTGGTTAAAAACTCAGATTAAGTAGTAGACATGAAGTCCCAGTGGAATGCATGTGTGGGTAACGTGTTGAAAGTTTTCATTTATTGCAAGACAAGCAAATTATAGAGCAATTTCTAGAAAATACAAGTGGGAAAGTAGGAAGAAGTGACAATCCATGTAATTTCTGGTCTGAATCACTTCTTTGAACCGTACAAAATAATCATAGCTTTTTTGTGTACAAATAGGCCAAATAATGTGTTATGAAAACTGCTGAGGTAATAGATGTAATAGATGAGAAGTCCCAAGTATTTCTGGAGTGTAAAGAAGTCACAATGAGGATATTCTCATAACTTAATAACTAGCTGTAGTTGTCAACAGTTTAACTTCATAACTGATGTTTTCCACCTAGTATTTAATGCGTGTGGCCAGTGACAACTAATGTTTTCCAGTTCTGGTGACTTAATTTTGGGTATGTGGAAGAGAGGACAAGAATATTTTCTCTCTCTCTCTCTCTCTCTCTCTCCCCCCCTCTACCTCTCTCTCTCTCTCTCTCTCTCTCTCTCTCTCTCTCTCTCTCTCTCTCTCTCTCTCTCTCTCTCTCTCTCCCCTCCCCTCTTCCTCTCCTCTCTTTCCCCCCCTCTCTCTTGTGTATTTATAATACATTACTTAAAGTTATTCTGTGGAAGTCCAACTAAAAAAGAAAAGTCATTGTGTGATACTCAGATTTCTGGATAGCTGTGTATCTGCCCTGATTTTCTGCACACCGTGACCACATACAGAAATAGGCACATTCTGATTTCTCATCATTGAGATAGCAATAAAATTAAAACATTTCTCATGTAAAGGACCAAGTGGAAAGATACTAACAATTTAGGGGAGTGGTTAGGATTAAAACCCACAGAATTAAGTTTGCAAACAGTTGTGTGCGATGTAATTGTTTGTCACCATCAGTTCCAACTTGGTAAGTTATGCGTCCAGTTTCGCAGCTAACGTGACTAAAAAATACCTTAGAATCAGTTCCTCTTGTAAAACAAAATCTAAAATGTGAATATTTTAATCCTGTATTAGTTTGTCCAGAATTCAGTAGCTCCAGTGAATTAAAAATCATGTGCGTGGTGACTGTGTTTATGTACATTTATGTACATTTAAACATCTTGATTGGAATTACTAAGTTGAATGCTGAGGCATTGGTTCCATGTACCAGGTTATGTAGAATGTAAAAAATACATGACAGTTCTTAAAATCTGTTAAATAAAAAAGAAAAAAAAAAAAGATATTTTAATATTTTGGGGTTTTTTTTACTGTATCTAATAGGACGACTAGAGGGTGGTATTATTAGATAAAATGTATTGGCCAAATGAGCTAGATTCCTACATGACTTCTGAACATAGGTTACAGGAAAAGTTAGCTGCCTGTTTGGCATGATGGGTAACTTTAAGAATGAAAGTTGTTCTCTTTAAGTTGGTAGCTACTTGTGCTAAATGTCAGTGGAGACCTGCAAGTTTCAATAACAGGTTTTAAATTCGAAGGAAAAGATTGTGGTGATGACATGTGCAGGTATTGTTTGCATTTCACTTTCTTAGGATTTTTAGGTCAGGAACTCCTAATTGTATCACATTTTTTAATTAATTTGTAGTGATGGTCAAAGCCTATTCAGTTTTGTTGGATAGGTCTGTCAAATTTGGGCTTGTTGGGGGGTTTTTTTGGTTTGTGGTTTTGTTTTGTTTTTTTTTTTCTTTTAACATTATTTTCTCCTGGGCTCTGAGGTAATTTATGTGCCTGTTGTTGCAGAAGTAGCCTGAGTTTGGATGACTTCCGGTAAGTCTATCTAACACTCAATAAATGTTGTGTGTTAGTTATGCTCATCTCTCATGACTGCATCACACAGCCTTTATAAGAGCAATTAACTGTCCATTTTATTTGTAAAAATGTGAATGTCTTCTCTGGACTAAACTGCATTTCTCCCCACAATAAGCTTTACTCCCCATGTCTTCTTCACAAGTGTTTAGAAATTGCTTAATTGCTAATTTCATAAGTTTGCGATATATTAATATTGTTTGCTGTTAATGATTTGTTTGTTGTTATTAGTTTTGAAATATATTTGCATAACTTGAAGCTTTTTTTTTCGGCCTGTGACCACTAGCTGCTCCAAAATTTCCTTTAACTCCATGTCACATTTCCAGATCTTGTTTGAGGTTTTATCCACTTAACTGCTTGTTTTATCTTGCACCGCTGTGTCCAGGATGATCATTGCCTAACATTGCATGCAAATATAACCATTTTATGAATATTATCAAACACTCAAAACCAGCAGTTCCCCAAATTGGTTCTCTCTGTAGCTTTTCTTGTGGTTGTTCAGGTTTGATTACAACATATGCTGGTTTTTTTATAATTTGCTCTAGGTAGTCTGTGGTCACTCATTAATGCCTTAATAGCTGTTCAATGGTTTGTTTTCTCATTATTCGTGCCTCTTTAAGTACATGCTATCCAAACTCAGAAAACATTTTTTTTTTCAGTATGGGCTTTTCCTTAGAATTTTTCAGAGCATCAGTATTTCATATATTACTCATACCATTCTTGAGTCTTGAAGGAACATTATCAACCTCATTTTACAGGTCAGGGATCAAGATATATAGACACTTTTTATCTTTTATGTACCAGTTCAGTGTATTGAGTTATAACTTGCTAGACTGTTGAACAGTAAGAAGTACTTGAGATACAAGTGCAATTCACTGATTTATTTTTTTTTAAGTGCAGCTCTATGCGCTCAGTATTTCTCCTAATCTCCTGCTATAAGATCCGGGGAGATCTTATAGCGGCCTTCCAATACCTGAAGGGGCCTACAAGAAAGCTGGGGAAGGACTTTTCATAAGGGCAATTAATGACAAAACAAGGGGAAATGGGTTTAAACTGAAAGAGGGGAGGTTTAGATTAGCTATTAAGAAGAAGTTCTTCAGTGTGAGGGTGGTCAGACACTGGAACAGGTTGCCCAGAGAAGTTGTGGATGGCCCCTCCCTGGAAGTGTTTAAGGCCAGGCTGGATGGGGCTTTGAGCAACCTGATCTAGTGGAAGGTGTCCCTGCTGATGGCAAGGGGGTTGGAACTAGATGATCTTTAAGGTCCCTTCCAATCCAAACCATTCTATGATTCTAGTTGAGTGTAGGGGTTTTAGTCAGCCAAAAGAAAATGATACTCTGACTTCACATGCGTGTAAATATCTAGCTTGTCCTGATACATACGACTTGTCTAGTACTTCTTGACCCATGGAGCTTCACAGTAACATTGCTCAGCTCCATAGCCCTGGCTGATCACTTGCAAAGATCTGTTCAGTGTGCTGAATGAATCAGGGATCCTGTGCAAAAATTATTCTGCAACCATCCACGATTGAAGAATGCCACAGTGGCACAAAGGCGATCTTTGGTCTGCAATTCCCAGCTATAGAGCAAACAACAATTTTAATTTTTTAATGTTCCACCTGTGACTTCTGGAGCATTTAAAAAAAAAAAAAGGGAAATGTATTCCAATCTCTTGTTGTCACATCATTCATCAGAAATGTTGGAACTCTGTGCTCAGGGCCCTGCCAAGAAAGCAACTATAGAATGACGGTCTATAATGCTGTTACATGGATCAGCACTAGAGGGAGTGGGATACTTTTCCCCTGTGTGTGTGTCTGTGTGTGTATATATCTATTTGTTGACAGTAGCAGAATTAACGGGTCTTGAAAGACTTGCTCTCTAGTCTAAACAGGCCACCTCTTCTCTTCTTTCTTCTTCCATGCCTTGAACCTGATCATATCCTAGTCCCATCTCTTCCGTTCCACCTAACCTCAATTTCTTTCTCCTATTTCTACTAGGTTTTCATCCTGATACCTGGGTGTTTTGTGGTTTGTTTGGTTTGTTTTTTGTTGTTTTGTTTGGTATGTTTTGGTTTTTTTTCCTTGCTCAGCATCCTCAAAAGATTGATCATCCTGTTGTCTATCTGCTAACATCCCTGATTTTTTTTTTCCATGCTCATCTAAACTGGTTTGTGCTCTGCATGCTTGGTCAAAGATTTTTGCCAAACCAGTCCTACGTTCTCTCCATGGGTTGTCCACCATGTCTCTGTGTACCCTCTTATTCATCAGTGTTTGTTCTGAATTTGTGTATCTTCCTACACAGAGATCCCATCCTAGTTTGTCACTTTATACCTGTTCTAGTTTAGTGATAGCTCTGTATTGATTAGGTGTGATCTTTGGGCTCAGCACTGGGACAGGAAGGGTTGGTTCCTAGCTATCAGGTTGAGTCCTGGCTCCATACAGCTCAGCACTGCAGTTACAGGCAAGGCTGTACTGTGCCTTCAGCTGGAGCGTGATCAGTGTGGGAAAGAACTGATCAGAGCCTGGCATAGTCTTATCAAATCTCTTGAGTTTGTGTGAATTAATGTTTTCGTTCAAAATCTTGAGAACTGCTCAAGTTTTCACAGGAGTGATGAAAACTTCTTCAAGAGTCAAGCGAGAGGTCTGAAGTATTACCCTTCTAGAAAAGCTGTCTAATTTTGTCTGAATGAGGTTTGTATTTTGCTAGCCCAGTGATAAAGCTCTCGAACAAGATTCTGGTAGGTCCCCAATGTGAAAAAGTTTGGTTTAGCACAGTAACGTGTAGAATAAGTTGTTTAAAAGTCCAGTGGATTTAGACTACAAACAGCTAAGCAACCTTATCTTTGGTTACTAGAGATAAGTAAGATAGATGGTGCCTGTCTCCTTTGGAGCTGGTAATAATATGAGATAGAAAAAGCAAAAGATTTGGAAAAACAGTGGATTATTTACACGATTTTAGTCATGTACACAGTCTGGGTAGAATTATAAACAGGAAGATCGTTAGTAACACACGCATGCATGTTTTGAGTCAGCAGTTGATGTTGTCAACATGGTTTTGTGGGCGACGAAGATGCTTTCTTTACTTGCTGGTCTCTGCTGTTCTGTTAGTACTCCTGTTCAGTAGTTAGTAATTTTTTGTTTTAAAGGAAGAAGAAACACATAGGATATTTTTTGGTACTGTAAAGTACTAATTGTGCTTTTAATCTCAGTAATCTATAATGTTCTTTTGAGTCTTTGATTCTGCAGTTCATTGTATTGATTTTTAACTTGCCTATTAACTGCATTTATTGAATTGCCATAACCTCAGCCTAACCTTAGGCTGATTCCATATTGAACTGAAACATTTTTCTTTCCAGAATTACTAGCATTTCTATGTAAGAAATAATCTTCAGTGTCAGGTCTTGTGTAAGGATGTAAGAATGCTATAAAATGTGTTCTTTCAGTAAGGAGTGTCCTTCCTGCCTGATTATCTTTATTTTTTCATACCTTGTTGCTTTTTGGATGCTTTATCATAAGTGGCAAGACTTTTAAAAGTTTTCATCTTTCAGTCAGACTGACTCTTCAAGCCAAGATTCTTCAGTTGCATCTGTTTTCTTTCATGCTCAGTCTTGCTCCTTGCACATTCCTTTTGTCTGTCCCTGATGCTTGAAAGTCAAGATCTATCTTGAATCATACATGCTTGTAAAATTCTGGGATGTTTGTGTGAAAAAATGCATCTAACTACACCATTTACACCACTTGGCAAGAGTGGATAAATGTTTAATTCTGAGTACATGGAAAAGGACAGAGTTAGTGACCTTCTTGGTGTGCATGCCTGTAGGAATACCACAGTTTCTGCTGTCAAAACAAAATGGTTTTGCATAGCTAATTGTTTATTCTATGTCCTGCATTACTGGGATACTATTGTAAGAGTGTTAATGTTTGCTCGTGCTTAAGCACATGGAAATTTCATATCTTATTATAAAAGTGTATTCAAGAAGTGTTGCTGATTGATCAGAGAAAAAAAATCGCCATAAATTAATTTCAATTTAAGTGGAATTGTAAATATATTGGCTACTTGTTTACAGAGTTGTTTCTCTTATCTGCAAATGATGTGCAACAGTCTACTGAGCTGCTGTGTAATAATATGCCTTGTGTTGTGAACTCTGGCTTCTGTAATCCTAGGACCACACAGAAGAGAGGAGAATCATTTGGAATCAGCAGAATAGGCAACAAAATAAAAGGTGTATTCAAGAGTTCTGCAATGGAAGGAGCTATGTTGCCGAACTATAACTTAAATGAAGGAGAAGATGACTTTGTGAGTAAAAGCTTTTAATTTGTCTTTGAACCTTTGTTGTTGGTGGATTTTTTCTTTCCTTATTTGAAACTGTTAAGTTTCTGCCTTTTCTGCTGTCTTACTTCACTGCAGGGCTTCCATGTGCTGGCTTCTGATGAAGTTGCCTTGTTTTCCCTGTATTCCTATTCACAAGCCAAGGCCACATCCTGTTACTGTGCCTCTGAGCTTACTGCTTTAGTACAGAGAAGCACTAGAAGTAGCAGTGTCAGGCATTTTTGTAAGCAGTGAATTTTTCTCTAAAAACTTTCTGTGCCTTTTTATAATTCTGGATAATAAGGTATGCATAGGACTGCATGCATGGCTTTCCATCTGCAGCCTGCCATAAAACTTTATAGCCATAGACAGAGTAGTGGAGAAATTGCAGTCAAGTTGGTCTGTGATGCAGCATTTTCTCTAAAGATCGTGAGGTGATAGTCCTTTCTCATTAGTTGAGAGAGATGCCCAAGACAAGTGTTTTTCTTTCATGCTGAACAGCAATGAATAGAGCCAGTGGCAGAATTATTGCGTGGAACATTGGTATCTGAAGCACAGTTGGGGGACAAATGGAAAATTTTAAAAAGTGAAGAGGAGGGAATTGGTCGTGGATTTTTTACAGTGTGTCTGACAATTCAACCTTTTGTACCTGTTCTTAACAAAAAAAGCATTTAAGCATTTGTCACCTTGATAAACTGCTAACTCATTTTTCATGGCCCGAAGATAAAAGTGTAAATGCAAGTTTATATTATACACCTTGTTCAGAATTGCTTTCAGGAGAGGATAAGAAGAACTCGGCAACTTATAACTCTAGACGGATGCGTAGAGTTGGTTTTGGTTGTTTTGGTTTGGTTTTTTTAAGAGGAGGAAAAAAGCGACATTTTATGTAGAGGCTAAATCTTCATTTAAGTCATGTCTTTAAGGGGGCAGAACTGTTGCAATTAATTTCTTGGGCAGTTAAGTTCTTGTTTTTCTAACTTCTCTATTTTTGAGGCAAGATTCTGATGAAAATGGGTTAATTTTGCAGCATTGCTGTCATACAATCTGTTAGCCAAAGGGCGTGGAAGTATAACTCTCCTATAGTAGAGGAATTATTAGAAGTGAAATTGAAGCAGTGGAGCTCAGAGAAGGAACATGTTTTTGTGCCAGAGCACAAGAAATTACTTGTGAGAAGTTGCTGAATTCAGCAAGAGAGACAGACAATATAGAGTCTAATCCTTAGTAAGGAAGGTTTTCAGATGGTCAGAATGGTTTTAGCTTGGGCAAGAATGGAAAATTGTAAGTGCAACATTGTCTCAAATCCCTTAATTAATTAATTAAATACTACATTTTTACTGAAACCACCGTAGACAAAGTTTGAGAAATACTTAAGTCCCTTCACTTGCTAAATGTGGATGGGAAGAAGAAATGGGAAAAGAAAATACTGAACTGTTGTACGGTTACTGTGTCCAAACAGCTGGACAGAGCCGTGGCTTCACTTCGTGAGTGAATACTGAACCTTCAGAATTCAACACTAACAAGGTCACACAGTAAGTGCTGAGGTGTAGTTTCTTAGCAGGCATCACAGGGTCAGAGGAAGAGCTCGCAAGGACAAGAAAAACGTGATCTAGGAAATGACAGTGTAATTGTAAGATGGTGGTAGTGCAATATACAGGCTTAGCAACTTTCTGATTAGCTTATATACAGAGGATATGGGAGTTATTTCCTCCTCCACAGATCCTGATTAGGTATTTAAGTAATTGTTGTTAATGTAAGCTTGGTGGATTCAAGGTAAATAGAAGTTTAAGAATAGTAGTGAAATGGAGTTCTGGGCATTGTGACAGAAAACAAACAATGTCTTTGGTTTTGGGTGGACTTTTTTTTTTGTTTTGACAGAGTCGTGTTGGTTGCAGTTGGATCCTATAGGAAACATCCGTTTAGTCTAAGGAAATTGCGTAGGGGTAGAAATACGTGATAGCAGCTTTCCGTGGCTCTGGGCAGCAGCTTTGTAAGCTGCTAACATGATAATAGTAATTCCATTAAACCACACTCAGTTGTTTGTCAGCTAAATTTTAAATATAGCAAAAGATATTCTGCATATTAAAGCACAGGTATTGTTCACAAGGCAGCAAAGAGACCTCTAGACTCAAATTAGTGGCTTTGTTGGATAAAACAAACTGATAGAGTCTGAAACAACCTATAGCCACTACATTTGGTGATCTGTTTGGAAAGAGGATTTAAAACTCCAGAAATTCATACTTCCTGGCTTACAGTTAATATAGGTGCTGTGGTTACAGAATCACACAGAATCACAGAATG